GCTCTGGTCCTCAGCTTTGTTTCAGGGCTTCCTGAAGGTGCCAAAACATTGCACAGCTCTTATAAGAACCTGGCCTCTGTGATTCACAGTTGTAAGGTTGCTTCATTCTTATATTAGCACTGAGCTAAGAAATGAGTATAAAAGACAGCAATCTTGGTGAGCACTTCACCCAGCGGAACCATGAGCACACAGCGTGGTGTGGTAGAAAGAACAGCCATTGGAAGCAGTCGGTTTGCAGGTTTTCAGAGTCAGACCAAAAAAACAAAAAAACAAAACAAACAAAAACCCCCAAAAAACCCCAAACCAAAAACAATCTGCATAACCCTGAGCAGCTAAGTCAGTGGTCCTCTCTGACCCTCAGAGTCTTCATCTAAAAAATGAGAATAAACACGTTGACTTCTTCCCATCCTCCTCAGAGTAAGAATATGCTGGATCTCTGTCATTCCTCCCCAGAAGAAAAGAAGAAACAGAAACAAAACTCCTGGTGCAGAACCCGATTCCTAACCCCTGAATGTGCAATGTCTTGATGCTATAAAGTCACCCTGGTATTCACCCATGCTCAATCAGTAGTTTTGTGTGTTGGCTCTTCTACTGGCTTCAGGAGGCAAAGCAAGGTCATTGAAGGATGTCCCTTCAGGCAGGAGCAGCACAGAAAGTACCTTGAATCCAGATAAGTAAGAGACCATATCAATAAACACATTTTGAATTTTTTAAGAAATTGACTCAAAATATAAATGCACGGGTGGCTGTAGATGTGATTAGTGGTTAAGGTATGGATTCCAAGCCAATCCCTTGAGTTCAGATTGTGGCTCTGCCTCTTACTATCTGTGTGACATTAAGGGACTTACTTGACATCTCTGTTCCTTTATTTCACTCTTTGTCAAACAAGGATAATAATAGCACCTACCCCAGGGCTGTTGTGAGACTGAATAAGTAAATGTGTACACACATACACACAGAGTCCCTGACACATTAAGCACCATTTAAGTGTGAGCTATTTAACAAGGGAAGGACCAGGGAAGTGCTGGTGCTTGGTAGTGGATTCTAAAACCAACCAGACAAAAAATAAACAAAAAACAAGAAGGAGAAGAAAAAGGTGACAAACAGAAGGATCTTCCAGCTAAAACCACCTGGTTTAGGGGGGGAAATTCCAGGCCATGAGAAACACACTATCACTGAATTATCCATGGAATAGCATTCTCTTGGAAAAGCAATCCAAAATGTGCCCAGGAAAAGCGGCTCCTTGGCTGAGGACGCAGGGTGGCTCTGGGTTGGATGCGGATTAAAGCCCAGCTCCTGGGCTCTCCCGGCTCGTCTCAGAAACAGGAGGAATGTTAAGTGCACGCTGCCTTGTCGTTAATTAATTTCTCAAGGGCTGCAGCAATCAGGACGCTCATTAATGTGTTCCAGCCTGCCTTTCATTTAGAGAGTAAGCAGCAAATGTAAATGCAGTGCACTTAGAAACCTTAAAAACCACTCAGTGCTGCGGTAGGAGGAGAGACACCCTGGTCTGTCTCCAAGGAAAAGAGAAAAAACCCACAAGGGCTTCTTTAATCACATGAAAGAGGAGCAATTCTAACTCAACAGCAGCAGAGGCTCCCTGTGGCTTTTCAAAATATTCTCATTTGGAACTGGTTGTCCCTCTGCTCTTGCACGACGTTTGAAGGTGCCATGCTCCATCCACATTCATATTCCTCCCAGCAGGGAGGCTGACCCTGCCGGGCCAGATGGTGGGGGGTGGGGCCCAGCAGGCCCCTCCCCAGGGGCCGCCCTGAGCTCGGGGTGCGCAGCGGGGAAGGCTGCGAGGCAGCGAGGTCCCCAGAGGCTCCCCCTACTGGAGGCTCGGCTGCTGGGCCAGGCTGGGGGCACAGGCAGGTGGTTTCTTTAACTCTTCAAGGCCAGCCCCGGGATGACACGAACTCTTCCTCGCGCTCCTCTTGACCTCCTCTGAGGAGATACTTGAAACTGCACCAACTCCCTCTTCTCTGTGAAGTCGGCACGTTTCAGAGGACCCTTTCACAGATCGGGATGGACCCCTTCTTGCCCGGCTAGTCCCGTTAAATGACAATAGAAAAGGTTTAGACCACGCCTTGCTGAGAGCAAGCCCTCCGTGTCTATTACACTTGCTGTGACTGTTACTGTTGGTCACCGGCAGACAGTGGCCACAGGATTTGGGGATCCCTGTCCCTCCAATTTTCCGCACTGGGCGTCTTGACCATAACATAAGTCATCACATAACCGGTCATAGCATCTTGGACTGTGACTCAAACCTCCATCCTTCCCTATTTCCCTGTCCTCACCTTTGACCCACTTAGGTCAATAACACCTACGCTCAGTTTTACCCTTCCCCACTGTAGGGGGGGGCAGAGGGCTGGGAGGACCCCTACACACCCTCCTCTAGAGTAGAACATCCCTCCAGTGGAGGTGATGACCAGCCCATAGAAAGCAAAGGTTCCCCTGGACAGAAAAAGAACACCGAGGAATCTGCACACGCTTCTCCACCCCAGGGAAAATAATCATTCAGTCACTTCGCACGTGCACCGTCCCATTTTACTGCCCCGCCTCCCAACGCCTCTCCCAGGGGACCTTGAATATGTGACCCTCACATGTGTCCCCAATCAACCTTTCCTTCTAAGTTCAGTTCCACAAACATCTATTGAGCACCAACTACGTGCCAGGCTGGATGACAAGCAGTAGGGATTCAGGATGAATGAGTCTCTACCCTTAGGGGACGTACAGGGGGATTAAGCCACACCCAGAAACACAATACCAATAAATCAGAACACAGAGGAGGGCGTGTCACCCAATTTAGGCTCCCTGGAGGGGATGGGACCTGAGCTTGGTCGTCAAGGACCCGCCAAGAGTCACTGGGCAGTGGGTGGGCAATCCAGAGGTGGACACGGAACATCACAGCACAGCAGCTGCCTCCAAAGCGAGCACAGTGCGTGTCACACTATAGGTGCTCGGCACGCCCACTGAGCTGGCTGGTGGCAAGGTGGCAAGATGATTGGCGCTGCTAGAGCGTGAAATCCGGGCCCCACCGGGAGGTGGCGCTGAAGAGCAGCTGCAGCCCTGAACCTGAGCAGGGCCTTGAGTGCCAGGCCCTCATCCTGCAAGAGTTTGAAGCAAAGATGTGACATGGTCAGTATTCCATCTTATTTGCTCAGTGTTCCACTATGCCAGAGAAGGCCCCGCTGAGAACACTGGAGAGTAGAGCTGTAAAGATCACAGTTTTATACTCTGGTATTGCAAAGAAATGTTCCCCAGCCATATTGGAGCCAAGTCTGTGCCTTTGTTAAGCAATTTGATAGCTGGGTATCTAACCTGGAGATGCTTGGTCGAAAGTTTATAGGTTGAAATTTCATCCTCTACCTTTGTTCCTAATCTGTAAATGGAGCCTTTGACTTCTGTTGAAATGCTTTCTCCTCCGTAGAGCCGTCCTATTAACAAGGCTTGCTCCTGCCTCCCGGCCGTAACCCCCACGAAGCTGCCCGTCAGAGTTCGCCGCCCCGTTGTGCACTGACGGGTCTCCAGCACGATGCTACAGCCTGGGCCTGGTCAGCCTCTCAGATGCAACATGTTACAGCATAAAGAAGAATTTTCATTCCAGGCTTTGGCACAAATGAGCCAAGGCTGAAATTCAAAGGAAAGGTGTTGATTGTAATATCTAGTTTTAAACCTGAATCGTGCCTCACTTTTTAAGATTTTTGTTACATTTGAATGACTTTTCTGAAAATTAAATAAAATAATGGGTAAAGGGCTTACAAATGCTCTACCGACAGTAAGCCCTCAATCATGTTGCCTGTGTTCATTACTATAAACAGAGGTAGTTCTGCTGAAGAGTCAGGTTGTTGATCTGCCTCTGAGGGTTGGGAGAAATTTATCTCCCGTGAGAAATGAGTTTGGCAATTTCTTTAAATGCTGATAACTTTGGCTTCATTTTAACTCTTGCATTGTTCTTCACTGTCCTATATTTATGTCTTGGCCCCCGAATTAGACTATAAGGAGTTTGAGGGCAGTGATCTTACCTGACTTCTATTTTTATACCCCTCATAGAACTTGGCACCAGTCCTCGTGTGTAATAGATGCTCAATAAATGTATGTAGGTTGACTGGATGCATACAGGGCCTTATAAATAAATAGAACAGCGTCCATCACCACAATACTTGGCAAGTGATTATTTGTTCCAGAGTTCTTCCCTTTGCCATGACTTCTCACCTTGGAAATATGAGCCAGACAAGGGTCCTGGGGTGGAGTAAAGAGCCCCTCATGCTGTAAACCATCCCAGCGGCCTGGTCCGCTCACCCTGGCCCCTCCCTGAGTCTTTCTCGCACTGTGCGCTGGCCCAGCAGAACTGACGCCTTTCTCTGACCTCCCGGCTCAAGGGAACAGAGGCAGCCCCAGCCCCCAGGCTGTTTCTGGTCCTAAGGTGCAGATGCCTTCTTCACAATTCAAGGGAAGCCCCGGACAGGAGGCCCTTCCCGGGTCACCCGCAGCAAGTTGGGGCAAACTGGGTTGGCTCCATCGTCCCTTTCGAATAATAGGCCATTCAGTCTTGGAGAGACAAATGACTCAGCCACCCCCGGGCTGTTCCAGTGGCTCAAACAGCTGCCAGCTGGGCAGCCCATTCCAAACAACCAATTAGTCCGAGCACCACAAGCTGATCTGAGCAGATCCGGGCACCCCCTCCCCGCAAAACCCAGAAGGGCACGCACGTCTGCATGGAAAATGCAGTCGTTTCACCTTCCGTGGCATTGTTCCACTCCCAGGAGCAAGCTTTACTTCTCTCAGAACTTGGCTTTCCTTGACCTGCCAGGTGACAAATGATGTGACGTTACTGAGATCCTCTGTTAAGGGAAATGAATCCAGGTTCAGTGAAAGACGTTTGCTGCTTTATCAAAGCGCATCAGTCAGCCTGTCTCATAAGCAAAACAGAATGTTGCTACCAGGTAAAGACAGTCATTGTTTCAACTAGCAATCGTTATTAGCTGTAGAAGGTAATGAGGAATAAAGGTGCTGGACCCAACCCAGCGATTCACTTGTATGCTTCTCTTTCTGGTTCTGGCTAAGAGAGCAAACAAACACAGAATGCATTTAGCTGTGGGATGATAGAGGCTTTCCCCTGCAAGCGGACTGAATCGCCATCCACCCCTCGCTGACTGATGAAGACACAGTATGACCCGGGAGACGCACAGATGTGAGATGCCAGCAGTGCTTGGTCCGCCCTCAGCCCAACACTGTCCGCGGTGCACGATGACCCTTGCAGAAAGTAAAGAACCACGAGGTCGTACAGTGGTTAGTGAAACAATAATTTAAAGGTATTTTCAGCTGAATTCCTAAAACAAAATAGGGAAACTCCTTATTGGATAACCGGATAGCTCACTGTGAGATACTTGATCTAGAGCATTTTTATTCAACATCTCTTAGACCATTCTTTTGATTTTTAAATACATCTGTTTCTGGAACAGGAGGATGGAAAAGAGAGGCAGTGGGAGATAGAGCAAGGGCTGCCTTGTTCTGGAAAGACTGACTAAATTGGCTTAAATAGCAGGAAAGACTGAGATAGCTGATAATCTTTTTTTTTTTTTTTTTTGCAAATGTAGCACATTTGAAGTTTCTGCTTTGATCAGTGCCTCTCTGTGTTATCTGAGAAGTCTATCACTAAAGCAAAAACTGACAAGACTTCAAGGAGTAATTGACAAATCCGTGATCAGAGTGGGAGACTTAACACTTTTTTTCTTAGTAATTGATAGATCAAACAGCCAAAAATATTCAGTAAAGTTATAAAGATTTTGAACAACTTGATTAATAAGTTTGATGTAAAGGACTTATACAGAGCACTGCATGCAACCATTGGAAAATACATATTCTTTCCAAAATCACATATTACATTTATGAAAACTGATGATGAATTAGGGCATAGAGCAAATATCAAATCTCAACACATTCAAAGAATCAGTATCATAAGACAGCACCACTACTGAGTTAGAAATCAGTAAAACTTACAACTTAAAACCTCCATACATTTATACATTTAAAAGTGCGTTACTTAAAAATCCAGAGACAGAAAGCAGACTGGTTCGTAGGGCTTGGGAGGAGAGAGGGGTGTAGAGTGACTGCTTAACAGGTATGAGGTTTTCTCCGGGGTGATGAAAGTGTGTTGGAACTGGATAGACGGGGTGGTTGCATAACATTGTGAATGTACTAAATTGTACACTTTAATATGGTTAACTTTAGGGTATGAGAATTTCCACCTCAGTGAAGAAGTGCTCATTATCTCTGTTTAAATTCTGATCTGTGGATACATGGGGGTGTACAGTTTCTGAAACTTTTTCAAGCTATTAGGTGTGCACTTTTCCATGTTATATGAATATATGTTTACTTTTTTTAATAATGTGCTTCAAAAAGGGTTTTTAAAAAGTAAAGAAAATTAATAACTCAGGGGTCAAAAAGGCATCATGAAGTATAAAGAGCAAGAATCACATGACAGTGCACCCAAAATTTACCGTATGCGGCGACTTCACTCAGATCACGGAAAAGCAGCCGTGACAGAGGATGACGAGGAGGTCCCTGAAGTACACATAAAGGAAAACCTATGGCTTTAAATGTTTGTTGGAAAAAGAAGAAAGGCTTAACAGTAATAACCTAGACATAAAACTTAAGAAGGAAGAAACAAAACAACAGAATATTCCCAAAGAAACGAAAAAGAAGGAAATAACCTTAAATGAAAGAAACAGATAACAGATACAATAAAGACAGTCAACCAAGACGAAGACTGGCTCTTTGAAGAGACCAACCCCTGCAAAGACTGATTAAGGAAATAAAAAGCATATACAGAGAGAAGGTGCAAGTGATGTTACAAATGAAAAAGAAGAACACACGAATACCAAAAAGATAACAGAAATATAAAATAGAAAACCTGGTGCCTAAAAGTCTGAAAACGTGCATTTTAAATGGGAAAAAATCCTAGAAACTTACCGAAGTTGACTAAACAAGAAATAGGAGGCAGTAGTAAAAATATCTTCCCACAAAAGAAACCCTAGGCTTCCAGAGTTTTATTTGTGAGTTCTAGGAGACATTTTAATTACAGCCTCAGATTATGACCAGGATGTTCAATAAGCAGGATGCAGGGGATGTAATCAAGTAAGTTATCACACTGTTGCCTCCCACTGTCCCTTTAAATCTTCTCAGTGAAAAGGGAACCCTCCCAATACTGCTGGTGGGGATGTAAAATGGTGCAGGCACTACGAAAAACAGTATGAAGGTTCTTTAAAAAACTAAAAATAGTGTTGTCTTATGATCCAGCAATCCCACTCCTGGGCATATATCTGAAGAAAACTCTAACTTGAAAAGATACATGCACCCCAATGTTCACAGCAGCACTATTTACAATAACCAAGACATGGAAGCAACCTGAGTGTCCATTGACAGTTGACTGGAGAAAGAAGTTGTGGTATATTTCTACAGTGGAATACTGAAACAATACCCTTTGCAGCACCATGGATGGACCTAGAGATTATCATACTAAGTGAAGTAAGTCAGACAGAGAAAGACAAATATTTGATATCATTTACA